CATTATAGGCGTTGGAAAATGTATTGTTAAAATTCACTTGTAGTGCTTCTACTGTGTAGGGTCCTATAGTTGCTTCAAACTTGTTGACCCAGTAGAGTTTCCACTGTGTTTGTAGCAATTAATGTTATTAGCACTTTCACATATTTGCAGGTTTAGGGGTGTAGGTATAGTATAAAGAAAACTTGTTAGCAAAACTTTTAAAAATATGGGCTCAAATTTGATATCCTTTCTTTTGACACTAAATATTTTAAAATATTTTGGGTGGTGATGAGTTTGCAGGGTAAGGGTGAGTGTTTAGGACAGCAGTGTTTCATTTCTTAGAGTGCTCATATTGATGACATGCATTGTGGCACTTATGTTTCCTGACCTTTTTCCTTTTATCACTGATTGATCAGTAGTATTGAGGAACAGTTTTTTGCTTCGCTGGAAAATGGAGAGGGGAAAAAGCAGAAATAGATGGTGTAGTAAGGAAGAGAAAGCTTAGGTGGCAATGGAAATAGCTGGGGGCAGGGGTACAAAGAGACATGAGGATGAAACACCAAAGATTGAGAAAACAGAATGATCCACAGACAGAAGGGTAAAAGAAAGAGGTGCCAGAATTCAAGTGAGACAGGTCTATGCAACTGCGGACACTTTTTTAAGAAACATTGATAGAAGAACATGCTGCTTTCCTGGAGCAAGGATCCTGGCTGGAGCATGGAGGAATCTATTGCTTGTTCTTCAGAATGGGAAAAATTATATCCATCTGTTATCTTGCTAAGATGATTGTCCCTGGCAGGACAGGGCACTGAAATAGTAGAGGCTCAGGTTATCTTGAGTGAAATTCTTCTGGTTCCTAGACAGAGGATGGCTTGACAAGATAGCACAGATCAGTAGGTGGTTTAGTGGTAGGTGCAGTGAAGATTTTGACTACCTGGAAGCATTCAGGAAAAGGTTTTTATTTGTTTGTTTATTTTTGAAGGAAGGACTCCAGCTTCTCAGGAGATAGCAGTCATGCCAACTTTTCCCTGAGAAAGCTAAGAGGAGCTGTAAATTAAAAAATGAGGGAAGATGGCTGGGAGAGACGTATGTGCCTGGTTTTAGTAGCCAGGAGGAAGAAATTTTGTAAGCAAAATATAGGAATGGTTAAAAGGAGTATCAGTGGGTAAAAGGATGGATAGGAGGAGAAAGTACTGATATTAGTGAGAACAGTTGTTACAGAGACAATACAATTAGTAAAACAATTGTCTAATCTGACTAGAGAACCAACTATGGGAAGCTAGGCAACAGAATGGAGCAATTTGGGACTACCGGTGCAGGATGTGGGACTGGTTATTATAGGGATAACAGAAACATTGTAGAAGAGAGATGCCAGGAACACAGGCATTTAAAGTATGTCTCTTGTTCAAGAAATATAGAAGTAAAAGTAAATGTGGTTTGGTAGTATTGTTCATTAAAGATGTTTTAGTCTGGAAAAGAAGAAGAAATATTATGGATAAATAGTTTCTTTCAGTCAACATCACTTTGGCCAGAATGTAAAGAGGATAGTCCTGGAAATCTGCATGACTTCTGGAGTTGGATTTCCATATAAATAAAAAACTAGTCTCTCATAAAAATATGAATCTCGCTGATAATGTCCCAGAAACATATGGGAGTAATAATGTAACTCATAATGGTAGGACCTACATAATCTAAGATGCAAAAAGTAGTTTAATGTTTTTCTTTTGTCAAAAAGTCACTAAATCAACATTGCAGGATATAGTTTTTAGATGTGGTATTGTAAGTAAAGACAACTGCAAATTATAGATAGTTGTAGAAAATAACTGGTTTGAGTGATCATGAGTATATTCAGTTTAAGTAGAAAGAAACAAGGAGGTGTATAGCTAAGGTTCTTGATTTCTAAAACAAACTTTAATAAACTCAGAAAGCTATTTACTGAAGTCAGCTGGACTGAGGAGGTTAGGGACTTCAAATAAAGAATAATTTTATAGGTTCTTTAAAGTCGAAGGTGATAACCAATAGAATCTTTATTCCAATCAAAGAAGAAAACGTGTAAGAAAGGCCCAAACCTGATAGGGATGATGAACCTCAAGGGGTTCAGGCATAAGCCTACAAGGAATAAAAAAAAGTCTGAGGATATTATGTTGTGTTTGAGATCAAGATGTAGAAGGATAGAACAAGAACTATCAAAAGTTAAGCTGAAGGTAAGCCTTGCAAGGATGGAAACATTTGTAGGAAAATTTGGGGGGGGGTATTCTTTTTTTAGTCACAAAAAATAGCGTGGAAAGAAGCAGGGCTGCTATACTATGAGGGTAAAGTAGAGAATAAAAATAATTTAGGTATGGCACAAAAGCAGTGTAAAAGTTTTGCCTCTGTTTTCAGTAAGAATGGATGTTGAACATGGGTCAGGGAGGCAGAATGGTTAGTAGAGGTATGAAATGAAAATTGCCATGGTGGAGATGGTGGTAAAACTCAGGATTCAGTTAACTCAAGATTCAGGACTCCCAGGATTTGGGGCAGAAACTGGCACATAAGGTTGCAAGACCAGCAGCCTGTATTTTTAACAAATCCATCAAGTTGGGACAACTTCATATATTTGGAAAGCAGCAGATGCAGGGCCTATATTTAAGAACAGGAGAGTAATCTGCGCAGCTACAGGGCCTTTAATTTGATTTTAATAGTGTGGAGCTTTTTAGAACAACTTTTGAAGGTAAGAACAAAGACATGGGAGTAAATGGAAAAGACCATAAAATGGATCATGGATTTACCAAAGGAAGGTAATGGGGAGGGGAGCTAGTTAGAGGAATTTGAAAATGGGCAAAAGACCTAGCCTAAAGTGGATAATATTGAATGGCTTGAAGGGAGATCACTAGTGGAGTCCTTCAGGGATTAGTCTTGGGACTGATTTGTGTATTATTTTCACTAGTGATATTGATACAAAAGTTTGTTGGGAGTGTGCTGATGAAATTCTGCTGGTACTTGTTCAGAAATATTGTCTATATAGAAGAGAATTCTGGTGTATAGACCGAATGGTATAATCTTTAGGACCAAGTAATAGAAAAAGGATGAAATTTAATAGCTTTGCACATAGACTAAGAATAAGAACTTCTGCAGTCAGCTGTGATCTTATCTTTTGGAAATAACTGAGAAGAAAGTCCTAAGTATATAATTTGATCACAGGCTGTCTATATTAGTTTCCAGTATAATGCAAGTATGATAGGCAAATTCATTCCTAGGAGTATCAGTGGAGCTATTTCCAATAGTAAGAAGTACGGTATTAGTGCCATTTTACATGGTATTTGAAATGTGAATTGTCTGATCAGAGAAGAGTTACTGGTGGTGTTCCTCAGGGATTGGGTTTAGGACCTATCATAATTGACATTTTTATCAGAGACCTTGATGCTGCAGTATAGATATGTCCTTGTGAAATTTGCAGATTACACCAGGGTATTGCCAGTGTCAAAGAGGACTGGATTATTATACAAGGAGATTTAGATATTCTTATAGAAAGATTACTTTAGACTGGAATATGTGCAAAGAGGGCCTAGTAAGATGTAAGATCATCAAGTCCAGTCTCCTGCCATGGGCAGGAGGTTGTTGGGCTCAAATGAGCTCAGCGAGGCTCTTGTTGAGCCTCCTCTTGAACCTCCAAGGGTGGTGACTGCACCACCTCTGCTGGGAATGTATTCCAGATTCTAGATAGATACCCTTGCAGAAAAGGAGTTTTCCTAATGTCTAACCTAAATTTTTCCTTGGTCCTCGTCCTCCCTGTGGGTGCTTTCTGAAGAGTTGCTCCCCTAGATCTTCGTGTTCACCCCTGATGTACTTGTAGGTGGCTTTCAAGTCACCTCTTGGTCTTTTCTTGCCCAGACTGAACAAACCCAGTTCTCAGAGTCTCTCTTCCATAGGGCCTATCCTCCAGGCCCCTAATCATACAGCTGGCCCTTCTCTGTACCCTTTTGAGCTTATCCACATCCTTCCTGAAGTGTGGTGCCCAGAACTGGACATGGTACTCCCAGCTATGGCCTCACCAATGCCAGCTAGATGGGGAGAAGCACCTCTGGATCTGTTTGCAACACATCAGCTGATACACGCCAGAGTTCTGTTTGCCCTGCTGGCGACTTCATTGCACTGTTGACTCATATTCATCTTCTGGTCGATTGTCACCCCCAAGTCCCTTTCGGGTGCAGTGCTAGCCAGTGAATCGCCACCCATCATAGAGTTGTGGTGAAGGTTCTTCCTACCTGGATGAAGGAACCGGCACTTGTCCCTATTGAACCTCATCTGATTGTGTTCAGCCCATAGGACCAGTCTGTCGAGGTCATCCTGGATCTTTACCCTATCCTCAGATTTGCCTGCATTTCCCCACAGCTTGGTGTCATCCGCAAACTTAATCATTGTGCTTTCCACCCCCTCATCCAAGTCATTGATAAAGACGTTAAAGAGCACAGGCCCAAGCACTGATCCCTGTGGGACACCACTGGAGACTGCGATCCGGGATGAGGCCATCCCATCAATTACAACTCTCTGGGATAGGCCTGATTCAGTTGCCGATGCAACCTTCTTTCAAAATGGCTGCTATTATAATTTTGAAAGGGAGAGGTGCAGATTGCCTTCAGTTAAGGCAGGGTTGGGCAAAATGGCACATCCAGCTGGCAGCCAGACTCTATCTCCCAGCAGCCCCTGCCTGCATTGCTGCAGCCGGTTTTCATGGAGATCCCAGCAGTGATGGGGCTGTGACAGCACAGGGTCAGGGTTTCCATGGAGACTAGCCGCAGCAGCACTGGCAGGGCATGTGACTGGACAGGGAGCTGCTCCAGGGCCAGGATTTTGTGGCGACTCTGCCCCGGCTCCAGACCACACTGTCACCTCTGCAGGATCCCATCCTCGGCCCCGGAACAGCTCCCCACCCAGCTGCATGCCCTGCCAGCACTGCTGGGGCTGGCTCCGTGAAAACCCTGGCCCTGTGCTGTCACGGCCCTGCCACTGCTGGGATCTCCATGAAAACCAGCTGCAGGTGCTGCTGGGAAATGCAGTCTGGCTGCTGGCTGGATCTGCCATTTTGCCCACCCTTGCCTTAACTGAAGGCAATCTGCACCTCTCTTTTTCAGTGTTGTAATAACAGCTATTTTGAAAGAAGGTTGTTCTGGTTTTTTGAATAAAAACATTACCTTTTTAGTTACTGCTGAAAGAGGAACTTTTTTAATGAAGAACAATGGGTCACTAGTTGGCTGGAGGGCCACACCCAGAGAGT